ATTTGACTCTGTGGTTCTCAGTGTGCAGGTTTCCAGCCCTTATAGCTCGCATGTTACAGGGAATACTAATTGAAGGAGGTAAAAAAAATTATCCTTTTTATTCGAGCATCACTTTTTTGTTTCTCTGTCAGGAGTTAGTAAGGATTTTATATTTTCTTTTTTTTTTGTAGGTAAATATATGGTTAAGTAGATAGCTTTGTTTGACAATACTTTAAATTAAATAAAACTAACAACACATTACTTTCTGTTTTATTTACTTTAAAGAAGTGAGGAGTAGGGAGATGAAAAAATATGTTTTTTGATACTGAGACTGGACGAGTAGATCTCGGCAAACTGCCGACTTCAAAAGTAGCTCTTGGTTCAAAAAAGGTTYGGCACCCCTGGTTTAGAGTTAAATACATGACTTCTTGTTAACAGGTGCTGTCACCTTTTACTCCCATAACTCTTTGTTACATATAGAAATTATTCATCCAGACATAGACGTCTTCATCTTATTTCAGCCAGTCTGTCTCTCACTGACATAAAATGATAGATTTCTGTCAGACCTCTTCATAAAACAGAGTTCCACCCAAACTGCCAAATACTTCAGCCACATTTTTGCTTCAAATGTTTTTTATAAACCTGGACATTAAACTTCTCTCATTTCCTCTGCAAAAGGTTAGAAACAAAAAAATTCACCCGTGGTGCCATCAGTGTCTTCTGACACTCACTGTTCTGGAATGTTTCAGATCAGACTTGAAGTTTTCTCACAGCGACTGATGCTTGATTTTCAGCTAGTTTCTGCCGGCTTTTAGTTAAGTTTCTGGTCAGGGAGTGAGAAATGTGTGGTTACCATGGTGAGCCACTTAAATTGTCTTGTAATTGCACAATTTCTACTGTTTTTAAAATGTGGGATTTTTCAGCAGCTGCACTGGCAGAATCTCAATCAAAAAGTTTTCTTTTGTTTCTCCTTCAGATGGATTTTAACCTGAAGCCTTCATTTTTTTAACCAAATCTCTGTTTTCTTTAGTTTGAAAACCTGGTTTTGATTCTCTGTAGCTGCTTCTTGTGATTTTAAAGACATTGATGTTCGACGGCAGCTCGTTGAGCTGTGCTGCTCTTTTCCTGCTTCTACAGCAACAATTAATAACCATAATCAGTGCCATCACTTGACTGATGGTCTCTCCTGCTGGAATAACCATCTCTGCAGTGATTAGGACTGCACTAATATTATTTCAAGTAATAATAGTGGTGGTAACACATTTAAGGGCCTAATCGTCTGGATTTATTAGATAAGAAAATGCCAGACTGTCTGTAAAAGAGGCAGCTGCAGGCTACAGTTTCTCTCTGTGTGCAGGAACAATAGGCTCTGAGCTTTTCTGCAGGAAGTCAAGTCCACGTTTTGAAAGGAAGTACGAGAATAGAAGCGGGAAGCGGGCTGGTTAACACCCTGCAGTCAGATCTGTCAGTCAAAGTTTCTCCTTTTTTTCCCCCTGAAGACAGGTTTTCCTCTCTGGAGAGGAGCGGTTCTCATGACTCTGCTTGAGTCTTTCATTTAATGTTGTATTTACAGGCAGCAGATCTCATTTATCTGTGATTTCATTTACTCTCAGGCTGTAAGAATTAAAGGTGGTCTTCTGACTTTAGCTGTGTTTTCGGCTTGCTTGGTTCCAAACATYACATTCTACAGGTTTGAGCCAGAGGGGGAAGGAAACGGCTGAGGGATTAGCTGAGCTTTTCTCTAGTAATGGAACTACTGATTTGGAATTMAGCCATGTGGTGATGGGGATATTCGGGGGCGGGGTTACCTGCCGTTCATGCAAGATTAAGGATACAACAGCGGGAGTTTCTGTCCATTTAATGGAGCTCATTTGGACGCCGCAGGGAAGGACTCTAAAGGAAGGCTGAGTTCAACAGTGGCCAGAGTACACCTGGGATTTATAGTGGCTCGACACGGCCCTGAACTCTGAAAACCCAGAACTGAGCCATTCATTAGTCCGTCTCCGGCCAGTTGTAAATCATTGATCAAACCAGAAACATAAAATAATGTGAGCTTTTAGAATTAACCCAGCCTTGCAAAAAGGGAAACAGCCATGTGGTCCCACAAACCATCTCTCATCACTACATCACACCTCGAGCTGCAACGCTGGATTATTGTTTCATTAGATCATTCGTTTTGACCCTTTGACTACCTCCGTCTGAGGCCCTGAGGCATAAAGACCTTTTTACTAAAAACAAAAAAAGACACGTTTTCCAAGGGATGCTTTGAGACACCAAAAAACCCATCAAAAACATTTATTTTACCAAAAAATATCAAAAGGCTAATCTAAAGCTTAAAGTTGCAAATTTTTTGCTACAAACTAAGAGCAGCAAAATGTAAAAMTATCAAATGTTAGCTAGAAGCTAATAGTAGCAAAACTCTTGCTAAAAGATGAAAGTAGCAAAGCTTTAGCCAAAAACTAAAAGTAAAAAAGTCTAGTGAAAGTTAATGTAACAAAYGTAAACTAAATGCTAAAGTGTCAAATGTTTAACATAATCTGAAAAAAACAATAGGCTAACCAAAAGCTGAAAGCTGCTAACTGTAGCTTTGAGCAAAWTTAGCAAAAACCTTGCTAAAAGTAAGGTTTTTGCTATTTTTGCTAGCTACATAGTAAAAACAAAAGCAGAAACTTAGCTTAAAGCGAAAAGTAAATAAAACTAGATAAATGCTAAAGTAACAGAATTGGAACTATAAGCTAAAGCTACTAAAGGGCTTGCAAAATACACCAAAAGGCTAACCAAAAGCTTAAAATTGCAAAATCCTTGCTGCGAGCTAAACACAGCAAAAGGCTAAATAAAAGTGCAGTATGTTGGCTAGAAGCTAATTGTAGTTAAACTCTTGCTGAAAGTAGCAAAACTTTACTTTGCAAGCTTCTACGACTCGCTCAGGAAGTGGCGAACACCCGTGATCGTTTTGGAACATCTTGAACCRGTTAGTGTCTAGATTCTAGACACTAACSGGTTCAAGATGTTTTTGATGAATTTTTGATMAACGTAAGATGAATTTGGAAAAAAAATCATATTTTATTTTTCACTAAAAAGGGTTCAGTGAATGCYCATACCTCAGTGGTACCTCAAAAAAGGTTAAGAACCACTGGTCTAGAATATGCAGTTCAGTGAGATCTTTAGCAGTTCTATGTTTAACAGCCCCAGATGTTTGGCTACCTGTTGTTGATTTCCTGTGGAAAAATGCTAAATTGTAAAAAGAATCTGTGCTGCTTCTYTCCTTGCATAGATCACACTGAGGCTACTCACTGCAGACAGAAGTGACCCATATCTGATGTTTCTGACAATATCCAACCCAGGCCTTTTTAATTTGTGATCCTACATCCGATCCTGATGGTTTTCAGCATGGCKTCAGTCTGAACACTCYGGTCTCAGTGAGGCTGGGGGATACYGATTGATCCAGATGTTGATATTATCATTACTAATGTCCTGCAGTTTAAAGCTCAGAACTCAGCTCATCTTCAGCAACAGAACAGAAGTCCAGCTGCTTCCATACTGCTMCTTTTTTAAACTTTCTAGATTGATCATGTCCTGATGGCTGAGACACCAACGTCTGATGCTAATGGTGATACCCATATGTTTGTTAGATCCATACCAGCATGATGGATTCAGACTTGTTGTTCCAGAAGTGACATTCTGCTCCTGAGTTGGCAGGAAGCAGCAAGATGAAATGTAAACATTTGACCAAACATTTACAGCAGATAATAATTTGGTCAACTCTGACTGGACAACAACTTCAGAACAGATCAACACATGCTATCATGTACCATCAATATTTACTTCTGTAAACACAGCGGGTTGGATGTGATGTCACTTCTTCTTCTGCTTCAAGGCTGTGGACTGATGGAGGTCCACTTTAGAATGTCAACAGAAAGCTAAAAATATCTGGTCGGAGCTTTAAGATCTGCAGGATGAACAAAGTCTGGGACTGGAAGAAGGTGCCAGAAGATCAAAACACAAATTTAAACTAAAAAAGGATYGTAAAGAAGAGTAGCACACATAGATAAAAGTTTAAGAAATTAAAAGGTTATCTATATTCATCAAAAAATAGCCAATAGTATCAATTGAATYTCTAGAAGCTAAAGGCATCAAAAGGTGGTCTCAAAAATACTGCATCAAAGGCAAGCCATTAGCATAAAAAACTAACTAGAAGCTAAAAGCATTAAAACACATTAACACACCTAAGCCTTCGCTAAAAGCTAAAACGATCAAAAGGCTAACTAGAATCACCAAGCATCTAAAGGCTAGCTAGAAACTAAAAGCAGCACACCACCAGCCTAGACTAAAAAAAGCCTAGCTTAATGCTAAAAATATCAAACTAAAAGCGTCAGAAGGCTAGTCAATAACATCAATAGCTGTTACGGAATAATGTTGGTTTTTAATGCAGTGCTGCCTGAAAGATCGAAGGTTACGGGTATTCAGTGTTGGTTTTTAACCTTGCTGCTCATTTACTGAGATTTGTCCAGATTCTCTGAATCTTTTGATGATATTGTGGATGTGGACTGACTGATGATGAAATCACTAAATTCCTTACAGTTGTACTTTGAGAAATGTTCTTAAACTCTTGCACTATTTGCTCACACAGTTGTTCTCAAAGTGGTGAACCTTGCTCCATCCTTGCTTGCGAACAACTGAGCCTTTCAGGGATGCTCCCTTTTGGACCTAATCATGACACTCACCTGTTTCCAATTAACCTGTTCACCTGTGGAATGCTCCAAACAGGTGTTTTTTGAGCATTCCTCTACTTTTATGGTCTTTTGTTGCCCCTGTCRCAGCTTTTTTGGAACATGTTGCAGGCATCACATTCAAAATTAATTAATATTTGCAAAAAATCAATAAAATTCATCTGTTTGTATGTTAAACATCTTGTCTGTATGTTTGTTTTACACGACTTGGGGCTGTAAAAAGGCTAGCTAAAAGTATCAGTGTTTTAGTGTTCCTGATGATGATGACTTTTTTTTCCTTTTGTATTTCAGGGAACGAAGCCGGGATCGACACAAATCTCGCAGCAAAGACAATCGCTCAGAAAAGTCAGTCACGATCAACACGCCGCCGGCGGAGCCGCTGCTGGGCGACTCGACGGCTCGAAGCGAGCAGGCTCAGGTAAACAACAACATCACTCAGTCAGTGGGATCATTCTCCAAACAGGTTAGTGGTTCCTGGTTGGCWATGTGGGTTAGTCTGATTTGGATTGGATTGAAGAGATTTAATGTTTATGGCCCGAGCCTAGAAGGACCATCTGGTTCTTCAGGACCAAKGCCAGGAAGGCGTGTCCTCTTCTGGTACGGATTTGGGATTTTCCTTGTATAAAGCTGCATTTTTAATTCCGCTTTAAAAACAAACTGATCATGAGAACCAGTACAAAATCAGGAGGCAGCCTTGGTGAGTCCGTCTGAAATGGAACAGGCCAAACTAGAACCCACTTCAGCTGCTTTTACCTGTCAGACTTTGGACTCTGTTCTCTGTGACCGTGCTGACCCTGACGTCAGAACATGGATTATGTGACGGATTATTTGACGAAAGAGAAGGTAGGAACCTTCCTGATAGTGTTAGCAAAATATCTCCTGAATTATTGGACAGATTTTAATGAAAATTGCTGAAAGTGATCTCATCATAATTATTTATCCTGACTCAGACATTTTGGCTTCGGATCAAAGATGGATCAAATATCAGTCAGGCCGATCAGAACCGTGTCAGCCGGGCTGGTTTGCTGCAGCCCGACGTGTCGAGGCCTGAAGTTCGCTGCAGCTCCTGAGGAACACGAGTTCTCAGTCAGATACCAGGTTTTCTTTGGTTTCATGTATTTATCTGTTTATAACGTGGAACCACTGAAGTCTGTAAAATCAGTTCAGATTAACTGGGTTTGGGTCAGAGTTTAATATTGGAAAGAACATAATTTTTACTGTTTTTCAATAAGTTATAAAAACTTTATTTCACTCAAACAGCCACTGATATAAAAGATCCTAGATGGATTAATTTTATTGTTTCCAAATGACTGGAAATTTTAAAAATATTTTGTTTTCATGCAAGATAATTTTAATTTCCTGTAAACATTCAGAAAACTGAGATTATACAACCAAAAGAAACAGAATGCTAGCTTAAAGCATAAAAGACCAGCCTTAAGTTTAAATTAGCGAAAAGCTAGTTAGAAGATAAAAACATCAAAACACTAGCTCAAACTAAAGGCTGCCTAAAATTATCAATAGGCTAGTTTAAAGCACCAAAAGGCTGGCTAAACGCATCAAAACAAGACTCCTAAAAAGTAGCAAAATATTAGTTAAAAGCATCAAAAATCTGGCTTAAAATTGGAAGTAACAAAAGGTTATTTAAAAGCTAAAAGAATCAAAAAAATATTTTAAGCTTAAAAACTATTGCTAAAAGCATAAAGACACAAGTTTAAATGGGAAAAAAGTAACAAAATTGCAGTTAAACGTAAAACAATAGGAAAAGGATAACCAATTGCATGAATTGGCTAGTTAGAAGCTAAAAGCTTAAAATGGCTGGCTCAAAGCAATTGAAGGCTAGCCAGTAGCGTRAAAAGGCTAACTAGAAACTAAAATCATCGAAACACCAAGTTTTAACTAAAAAGGATCAAATGGTTTGCAAAAAGCATAAAAGCACAAGCCTAAAATAAAAAAGGCTTGTAAAAATTGGAAAACATTAGCTAAGAATAAAAAAAATAAATCAAAAGGCTAGCCAATAGCATCAATTGGCTAAAATCATCAAAAGGCTAGCTAGAGGCTAAAAGTATTAAATGGKTGAAAGGTACAATGTGGGTAGAGTTGGGTAATGAAATAATGTGCACAGCCAAGAATGCTGTATTGCAAGCCATGCTCATGATAAACTGTTATTTAATAGTAGTTTGCTCATATGTGTCTGAAAAACAAAACAAAACAAAMGAATTCAGTAAAACCACAATGAAAAATTAGACTTTAAAATTTAATTACTGCACAGTGAGATCCGACCATTAGCATTGTTGCTAACTAAATATTCCTCTTCAGAGACATGGGTATTTCCCATGATGATGTCTTTTTAGATGGACATTGTCTTTAACTCATGGAAAGAAAAAAAACGGTAGATATTGTCATTGAGTGATCTGTTTGAACAGAACCRTTACAGCAGGTTGTTTCAGTTTCAGGAACCAGTCCAATCCTCCAGGCTTTATGCTAATATGGGAGTTTCTCAGAGTTCTTTAGCTGGTTCTGTGTCTGGGCACCGTCTGCTCCAAGCCGTTGTTTCAGCATTTGTAGGAATGGAAGTGAGTAACCGGGTCAGTTTATCCTGCAGTTATTCCTGTGTTTATCTGGATATGGGAGCTGGTGGGAAGAGGCGGATTAGGGTCGCCTGAGTGGAGTCGTCAGCTGTGTTCTGAAGTGGTGTCAAACAGGAGGAAGGTGATGTGTTTAAACCAGAGGGAATTCTTTGTGTGTTAGRGCCTTCGTAGTCAGGGGTGTGTGAGGTTTGTGTGATTTTTGTCACACCAGACCTGTGAGGTAAAAGCACTTGGCTTGTGTGAACATTTATTCAGAGACGAGGCTTGAAATGCATGTGAACCCATTGGATTTAAATTAAGGCTAGTAATATTCWGTTCTTAAAGAGACCTGAATCGTTGCTTCTTGTGATCCGCACAGTGTCTGGAACAAGTTTAGGATCATGGTTTCTTTTCTGTAGTGTCTCGAGCAGAATTTACAGCTCCCTGAGGTTAGGTTTGTGGCTAAAGAGAGGTTAGCATTAGCTTTCCTTCTGATGGGATTGAATACATTTAGGACTTTTTCATTGATGTGGAAAAACATGGTATTTATTTTTATCATCCAACACCAAAGTTATTTGAAATTGAATTAATTAATTTTATGATTCATTTTAATCCTTTTGTAGGACCTTTTCTGGTCTAACCACTACCTTGTCAGGGSTGGTATTACCAGTGGGGACCAAAGCCGAGTTCCAAAATGACGAAACCTCTTTATTGGATTTGGATTAGGTTTAGGGCCAACATGTGAACTGAGTTTAGGTTAAGATTGAACTGGTAATAGAACTGATCTGTTACTGGCTCACTCGGGAAATTATTCACATCTTTGTACTGAATCAGGATTCACGAGTCCYAGGTCTCAGTTGACCTYCCTCAAAGTYTGTCGAGTCACAAGAAAAKCAACTGAAACAGTCAGATGAGTCGGGTCTCTGTTTCTAGGTAAAGACTCACCTGAAATGATCCAGACTTAGATGAGTCAGGTCTATGGTTCAGGTTAAAGACTCATCATTAGTCATGAAACAGAAACGGAAATAAATTGAAGTCATTACAATTTATTGTTAATGTTAGAAATACAAATTTGTGTGTGTGGACACGTTTTCTTACATCATGGGAACCATTTTCCCAAGAAAGCAGCCTCGTAGGGACCGAACGTGCATTGTGGGGACCAATGCCAGTTACAAATGCAAATTACAGGTGGGGGGTTAGGTTTAGGACCAAGATGTGAATTGAGTTTAGGTTAGTTTTAGCGTCAGGTTAACCTGTGAGGTTAACTGTAGCGTAAATGGTCAGGGTTAGGCTATAAAATTTCCAAAAAATGAATTGCAGTTGATCCACGGTCCCCACCGGGATATAAAAACAAACGTGTGTGTGTGTGTGTGTGTGTGTGTGTGTGTGTGTGTGTGTGTGAGGGCTGTCAGCTTTGTCAATAAGTTTCTCTTGATAATTAAGGGAAATTAAAAAAGCTAAATATCACTTAAACCACTAGACAGATTAAATAAAAATCTTAAATAAWAATCAATGGATGTTTCTCTACAACTTCAACTTCAAAATGGCCGCTTCAGCTAACTCCCCACCTCCATCATTTCTCACTAAAACTCAGGAGACTAGTGTTCTTTCAATGAATGTAGAGCTTTTATCTACACTATATTTATCGTATATTTTGTATAACCTGACTTTCTGTGGTTTCTTGGATGGAAGCAGTGTTTTACATTCTTACACACACACACACACACACACACACACACACAC